ATTAAAGGTTGTTGACTGGAAGTAGGTTGTAGAAATCAACTCTCAAACCAGCACTCTTCAGCAGAGGATTGACTAATACTTCCTTCCATTCGTTCACTTACAGGCACTTGACTACTAATGATGTTCCAATCGGCATTGGGTCGAGCGTGCAAGACTTCTTGTTTGATTGCAAAGAAGAGCTTTGATGATTGCAATTTCCCATCGCAATGGAAGACAGCACAAGACTAGTCTATGGGGGCCCAAACTGGTCAAAATGAGGTTAATAATTATTTTCGTATTTTAAATAATTATATGTACTTGAAAAGATAATTTTTCGTGGTGGAAAATTTAATTATATGTAGTGTTCATTATAATTATTTTTATCTAATTGTTGTATTTATTTTTACGAGTGTGTCAATTATTTATTTCTCTTTGACAATTAATTAAGGCAAATCCCACAATGCAGTGCGCAGGATTAAAAGTCCCATCAGCCATTGCAAACCAGCTTATAGGCATTTCAAAATGGCGAACAGAAGGAGAGTGTTACGAGAGAGAAATGAAAGTGGATTTTCTAGTTTTCTGCAGAATTTAAAGGGGATATTGAAGATTTTTCTTAGCTCTGATATACAAATTACAAATGAAGAATTGGTTGAAGTTCGTCAGCAGTTGATTGAAGCTAATGGTACTTTGTCTTTGTTGCAACGTGACATCGAACGAGGCGACCCCAATCCCACAGGCCTTCCAGGAGAAACTCTGAAAGAACCGTTGACTAATTTAAGTAATGACATTGGGAGTATAGTTCTAATTCTTAGAGATGCGACAATGCAGTCGAATGAAAGTAACGAGGATAGTTATTCAGCCCCATTTGTTCCTCATGTTTCTGGACTCGGAAGGAAGAAATACGACATCACTAAAGAACAGCTTGAACACTTACGATCATTATTTTTTTCCTGGACACAGATAGCCAACATGCTTCAAGTTAGTATTTCTACAATTCAAAGAAGGCGCAGAGAGTTTGGACTTGGAGATGTATTTGAAGGATTTTCAAATATAACAGATGATGAGCTAGACCAAATATACTTAAGTATCACTGGCAACGCAAGTGAGGGCCCTGTTACTCCAAATATAGGCCGAAGGCGTTTTATTGGTGCACTACGAAGTAGAGGCCTACATGTCCAAAGGTGGCGAGTAACAGATTGCTTACACAGGTTAGACCCCGTAGGTACAAGTCTGAGATGGCGAATGACAATACATCGCAGAAAATACTGGGTACCAACTCCCAATAGTCTTTGGCACATTGACTCTGGTCATAAGCTTATTAGATATAAACTTGTAACTCATGTGTGTATAGATGGTAAAACAAGGCTGCTTATATATGTTTGCTGTTGCAATAACAATAAAGCAGACACAGTCTTGTCTTTGTTTGGTACTATGCCATGTTGNACATATGTGTGAACTGCGGTTATGAGACGTATATGAGAACGATCCTTCGCAGTAAAGCACTATTTGAGCAATAGTGAAAATCAGACCTGAAAAAAATTTCAGGCCTGTACGGGATTCGAACCACTGACCTCTGCGATACTAGTGCAGCGCTCTACCAATTGAGCTAACAAGCCAACTGGGAGCAGGCCATCAAATTAATTCGATATAAACCCGTAGATGATAAATCAAACAACAACAAACATATGAAACATATGTGTGAACTGCGGTTATGAGACGTGTATGAGAACGATCCTTCGCAGTAAAGCACTATTTGAGCAATAGTGAAAATCAGACCTGAAAAAAATTTCAGGCCTGTACGGGATTCGAACCACTGACCTCTGCGATACTAGTGCAGCGCTCTACCAATTGAGCTAACAAGCCAACTGGGAGCAGGCCATCAAATTAATTCGATATAAACCCGTAGATGATAAATCAAACAACAACAAACATATGAAACATATGTGTGAACTGCGGTTATGAGACGTATATGAGAACGATCCTTCGCAGTAAAGCACTATTTGAGCAATAGTGAAAATCAGACCTGAAAAAAATTTCAGGCCTGTACGGGATTCGAACCACTGACCTCTGCGATACTAGTGCAGCGCTCTACCAATTGAGCTAACAAGCCAACTGGGAGCAGGCCATCAAATTAATTCGATATAAACCCGTAGATGATAAATCAAACAACAACAAACATATGAAACATATGTGTGAACTGCGGTTATGAGACGTATATGAGAACGATCCTTCGCAGTAAAGCACTATTTGAGCAATAGTGAAAATCAGACCTGAAAAAAATTTCAGGCCTGTACGGGATTCGAACCACTGACCTCTGCGATACTAGTGCAGCGCTCTACCAATTGAGCTAACAAGCCAACTGGGAGCAGGCCATCAAATTAATTCGATATAAACCCGTAGATGATAAATCAAACAACAACAAACATATGAAACATATGTGTGAACTGCGGTTATGAGACGTATATGAGAACGATCCTTCGCAGTAAAGCACTATTTGAGCAATAGTGAAAATCAGACCTGAAAAAAATTTCAGGCCTGTACGGGATTCGAACCACTGACCTCTGCGATACTAGTGCAGCGCTCTACCAATTGAGCTAACAAGCCAACTGGGAGCAGGCCATCAAATTAATTCGATATAAACCCGTAGATGATAAATCAAACAACAACAAACATATGAAACATATGTGTGAACTGCGGTTATGAGACGTATATGAGAACGATCCTTCGCAGTAAAGCACTATTTGAGCAATAGTGAAAATCAGACCTGAAAAAAATTTCAGGCCTGTACGGGATTCGAACCACTGACCTCTGCGATACTAGTGCAGCGCTCTACCAATTGAGCTAACAAGCCAACTGGGAGCAGGCCATCAAATTAATTCGATATAAACCCGTAGATGATAAATCAAACAACAACAAACATATGAAACATATGTGTGAACTGCGGTTATGAGACGTATATGAGAACGATCCTTCGCAGTAAAGCACTATTTGAGCAATAGTGAAAATCAGACCTGAAAAAAATTTCAGGCCTGTACGGGATTCGAACCACTGACCTCTGCGATACTAGTGCAGCGCTCTACCAATTGAGCTAACAAGCCAACTGGGAGCAGGCCATCAAATTAATTCGATATAAACCCGTAGATGATAAATCAAACAACAACAAACATATGAAACATATGTGTGAACTGCGGTTATGAGACGTATATGAGAACGATCCTTCGCAGTAAAGCACTATTTGAGCAATAGTGAAAATCAGACCTGAAAAAAATTTCAGGCCTGTACGGGATTCGAACCACTGACCTCTGCGATACTAGTGCAGCGCTCTACCAATTGAGCTAACAAGCCAACTGGGAGCAGGCCATCAAATTAATTCGATATAAACCCGTAGATGATAAATCAAACAACAACAAACATATGAAACATATGTGTGAACTGCGGTTATGAGACGTATATGAGAACGATCCTTCGCAGTAAAGCACTATTTGAGCAATAGTGAAAATCAGACCTGAAAAAAATTTCAGGCCTGTACGGGATTCGAACCACTGACCTCTGCGATACTAGTGCAGCGCTCTACCAATTGAGCTAACAAGCCAACTGGGAGCAGGCCGTTAAGTTGATTCGTAATAAACTACTGCGAGGATCGTACATCATTGTATCTAATACCGCAGTTCAAAATATATGAACTTCATATATTTCATTGTATCTCATTTATCACTTTCACGGGTTTATTACGAATCAACAACGTCTCCTAGTATGATTATTCATACTAGGAGACGTATATATTTTTAGCTGTTTATTAGTAGATAGCAGGTTCACATCAGCATTAGCTGCCATCTCCTCAATCTGCTTTACCAAATAAAGGATGTATGTATGTATGTATGTATGTATGTATGCTGTGTATGTATGTATGCTGTGTATGTATGTATGTATGCATGCATACATGCATGCATACATGCATGCATGCATGCATGTATGTATGTATGCATGCATGCATGCATGCATGCTGTGTGAGTTCGCGTACATCCTCTTCCCTAAGGAGCTGGAAGTCACTTAACGGTTGCGTGCTATCAACCAGAATAAGATCATTCAGGAATAATGCGTCACCAGCACAGTCAGTGTCAATATCACAAGCGAATTTTTCTAATTTTTCACACAAGCGCCACCAGTAATAACATGGTAATCAGGAAAGGATAATGCATTTGTTATTCAAGGAGCTTTTTGGCAGCGAATATTCGACCCTAATTCGTGCTATTCTCGGTGATGAATTCGAAGAAGGTATAGAACTCTCGTCTCGCCTTGTGCGTCACATAGTTCAGACCCAGTTCAACATACATCTTACGAATTTGTTTACGTATTGACATCATACTACAAAACATCGATCATATCTGGTCATATCTTGAAACTGAAATTCGCTCTTCGACCCCTCTAACCAAATCCCTTCCCCTCGCTCCCTTCGAATAGTGTCCCTAGCTTCCTATCCAAAGATGTGTCGATTCGTAGATATACGATAAATATTTCGAGCAATGAGGTCACAGCGTGGACCTAACTCCAAAGTCTAAATTTCACGAAAACATCACAGAATAGCTGATTGATTTAATTTTCACGTGACATTATTTCTTCCTGATTACTGTCACACGTAAAAGCCTCTGAAATTTATTTGTCAACTTGTTAAAATCGGAAATTTTAACCGTAAAAACCTCCAAAGCTTTTTCAGAGACCTTCATTCTCGGCTTCATTTTCTGGATTTAAGTTTTCCATCGCGTGAAAGCGACTAAAGAGTAGCCGCTGCGATCTTCACTCAACTTGGGTATTCCCCGACTTGCTTTCTATGGTAACTGTGGAGTACATACGTCATGATGGGCCAATAGGAAGGTGTGTTGGCAAGCACGGGTTACAGAGGACACTAGAAACGTATTTCAATTGGTCCTTCATGATAACGAGACTTATAAATTACGGGTTGAGACAATCAAGGAGGTGGTAAGTACATAATTTATGCGGGTTCGCTCATAGTGGACTGAGTTGCATCACGGACAAAGATACGCTCTGAATTTCGTGAAAAGGAGCAAGGTGCGTCGTTTCATAAGGGGGACACGACATCAGCGGTAACATGTGATTTGTGGACCAAAGTAAAGGAGGTATTTTATTGAAATGGTGAGTTTACTACGAGACGATGCATGATAAGGCTGGCCGCAGGCTAAAAACGTTACACGAGATTCACACTGCACACATCAGCTATCACTATGCCGAGGAATTTTTTGATGGCGTTAACAAGTCACAATTCTAGAGCGAAAATTGAAAAACCGATCGCGAAAATAAGTACGGGCGCATCTCTCAATACTCTTCCTTTAAATAGCAGCTTCCCGATGATCGAACTACTTCCTCCGTCGAAATCGGAAATTTGCTTCGATCAGCACATACAAGGGAATGTTTAATCAGAGTTACTAGGGGAACTGGTTATGAAAGCCGGCGAACTTCAAACAAGGAACTCTTTGTTTACTTTCTTTTGGTATGTCACGTGATTATGAAGGTGCACACACACACACACACACACACACACACACACACACACTTGATTCAAAGATGGCGGCTAGTATGTGAGGCCCACGAATGATCGTATTTTATCTCGATTTTTGGAAAATATCTCGACTTTTAGAGTTTGATTTGGCTATGAATATAGTCTTTTAACATGCCTGGTGTAAATTGTGCGGTTTTTGGATGTGGTTCTTGTAGAAGAACCAAAGGAATCGGCATTTTCAAGTTGCCCTTAGCGAAAGATGAAAATCACAAGAGATGGCGCAACGAGTGGCTTGGTGTACTCAAGAAAACAAGGGAAATGGATAAAGATTTTAAAAGACAGATAGATGAAGACAAACTCTACACTTTCGAAAAGCATTTTTTGTCCGAAGATATTGAAATATGTAAGTATTTTTCGATAACTTTTGCTATGGAACGATACGATTGCTGAGCGTAATGTGCGTAGCGTTGCCAAGCTACTAAGATATAAACAAACAGCTTTTTCTTTCGTAGAGAGTCAGGTTTAAGACTTTGTCTGCCTAAATGTCAGAAGTCTTACTGAGCACCAGCGAAAACGAAAGCCATTCCTGGCACCTTACAGGTCTACTCAAGATTGATGGTAAGTCTTGCTTGAACTATTGGTATAATCATAACTTGTTGTTTAGTGCTCAAATTGTCTATCATAAGACTCAATTTATAATAACCTGTTAATTTGATTTTAAGAGCAAAATTACATTTTTATCACTATTATTTTCATGTAAATACTCTTGCCTACAAGTCTGTCATTCAAGTTTAAGAACACAGACTGTATTGATAAATTGCTATGCATTTGAACACAAGTAATTTTTTAATTTATATTTATAGGTTTGGCTTTTTGATGGAATTCCTGCAGTATCTTCAGAGCTGGAAGGAGAGCACTGAAAACCGAGAGGGTGAGTTTACCCAAAATGCAAGATCCAGGATGTTCCTCTCTTGGCAGACATACGAAGGCTTCCAGATTT